GAGGTGCGGCGGCAGAGATCGCAGTAGTGAACCGCCATGGCGGGCCCCGGTCCCACCCTCCCCCGGTACGTCCGGGGCCGTCCCTCCCGGCTGGGCACCGGGGGAGGATGGGACCGGGGACGCGGTATCGTGCGGCGACAGCGGGCGGGGACGAGCCTGCGCCGTGTGTCGCCCCGAGCCTGGCTCGGATGTTACTCGGTTTTAGGCTTTTTTCACTTGTTCTGCGGCTGGGGTCGGGCATCCCCAGCACCAAACCCTGGATGGATCGATGGATGGATGAAGAGCAGCCCCGAGGAGAAGGACTTGAGGGTGCTGGGGGGGAAAGGGGGGGAAGCTGGTAGCCCATAAGCCCCCCACATCCCGGGCTGCATCCCCAGCAGCGTGGCCAGCAGGGCGATGGGGGGGATTCTGCCCTTCTGCTCTGGGGAGACCCCTCCCTGTTTGAAACTGAAAGAGGAGAGATTTAGGTGAGATCTGAGCAAGAAATTCTTTGCTGTGAAGAGAGTGACACCCTGGCCCCAGGGTTGCCCAGAGAAGCTGTGGCTGCCCCATCCCTGGAGGGGCTCAAGGCCAGGTTGGAGGGGGCTTAGAGCAACCTGGGGCTGGTGGGAGGTGTCCCTGCCCAGGGCAGGGTGTAGCACTGGGGGGGCTTTAAGGTCCCTCCTGACCCTTACTGAAGGAAATGAGACTGGTCATCTTTCTCTTCCCCCCCTCTCCCCCTATAAATTTGAGCCCTTATGTCACGATGCTCATAATTTCCACACACGGTTCTCGGGAGGCTCCCTGCGGCAGCACCCCAGAAAACAAGCTTGGTTTGAAAAGACATAATATGTGTTTTCAGAAGCAGGGAGCCAGAAGGAATCACAGCCCAAACAGGGATCTCAGGAGACCTGCAAAAGAGGGGGAGAGAGAGATTGTGACAGTCACTCGGACCATAATGACTGTGGGCACTGATGCTACAATCTCAGTTCTTGTCCCCATTAAGCTGAGAGGTACCGTATTCCCGAGCAGCACAAGACTGAGGTGAAGGCTCTGAGGTTTAATGCAGCCTGGTTTGTTTCTCTTGCTGTGCTTGTTTCATTACAGAAGGGCATAGTGACCAAGCCCTGCTTTGGGGGTATCACTACAGGGATCCCTGAGGGGCTGGTAGCATCTCTCACACCCAGTGTTGGTCCCAGACACCGTGCTGGTGTCACCATGTACTGCCTTTGGGTGCCCACCCATATTCCCCCCACCCCGGGGAACCTCATACAGCCTGACTCCCTCTGCCTTTCGGCCTGAAGCGTACCCGGGTTGCTCATGCTTTGGCGCACCAGGTCGAGAGTCTCTTTGGGCAGAGCCTGGGCTTCCTCCTGAAACTTCCTGCGTCCTTCTGGCGTGAGCTTCCACAGGCAGGACTTGCGGTTCCCTTCGCCGCACACAAAGGCAGTGCTTTTCTCGAAGCAGCTGCTGAAGCACAGTTTGTGTCGGATGGTGCTTTTCCACCCCTCTGGGGCCGTTTGGAAAAATGGGAAGTGCTGCCTGCAGAGAGAAAAGATTTGTCCTGAGCTGAAAGAATTCGAGGCTGTGACAAATGACAGAATACAGCATACCTGAGCGAGGGGAGGAAGAGAAGGTCCTCCCTGACCCCTGTGGTGTAAGGACGTGTGTTTTTTCTAAGAAGTGTAAGACAAAACTAAAATGCTGGGTCTCGAGGCTCCTGGGTTTGGATGTTGACAAAGAGGGGAAGCAGTTTTCTCAGCGGCATCTTGAGCCAAAGGCAGAGCTAAGGCCAGAAGACAGGTCCTGGCTGCCACATTCCTGCTCCCCAGTAGAAGATCAGGGACTCCTGTCCCCCTCATCGCCCCTCTTCCCTTCGTTCTGCACTAGGAGCTGGGGGGAGAATGGGAGAGGAGTGGGTACCGTGTGAACTGGTAGATCTGCTGTACGCTCAGGCTGCCGCTTGCGCTGTTGCCCAGGGCGAGGGTGATGAGGAGGCAGTAATTCAGGGGGGGACGGGGCCAGCCTCCCTTGATTTTGGTGCTCTTCTGCCTGGAGCACTTGAGCTTCACACTCTGGGGTCTGAGGACCACAGATTTCCAAGGTATCGGCATCTCCTGAGGAACTGGGATGTCCACACGCGAAGTGTCTTCCCCCTTAGTGAACTGGGGAGAGGAAGGAGAAAAAGGACATGGAGATATTAGCCCTGAGCGAGACGAGGGGCAGGGATAAGCTGCTTTGTTCTGGGGCAGGGTGGGTCTGGCAGAGAGCTTATAAGACTTCATAGACTTTAAATTTCAGCCTCCTGCACTGCACTTCGAAACGGGAGGCATTGTTAAGCACATGTGATGCCCGGGGGGGTTCCCTTTTTGTACCTTCCCAGCCTCGCTGGTGGCTGATGGTGCATCCTTCTCAGAGCAGTCTGGGTCGGCATCATCCTGGGATGTCTTTGGAAAGGAGGCTTCTGCGGCACCAGCAGCCGAGGCCACCGGGCTGTGGAGTCTGTCCGGAGCTGGGCCAGGGCTGCCGGGGATGGGGCAGACCAGGCTGGGCTTCACCCACATCCACAGGTGGGGCTGATCCCCAGGTCCTAAGGAGAAACATCACCCCATGGTCCTACCTGGGGACTGTTTCTGGACCCTGCTGTCCAGAGGCAGCTTGGGGAAGCTCTAACACAATGCACATCCCAAGGCAAAGGTCCCCAGTTGTCTTCTCATCCCTCTAAATAGCATTTTATTCCCTGTTTAGCATACAGCGTGTGTGTCTGCATGGTCTTGTGCCGCTGTGACTAGCCCGAACAACAGTGCTCAGCTCTGACATTGTACTTTGTCTTTCCCCCACGAAGCCAGAAGAGTGTAAATTACTCCCTTCAGTCCTCTTTTCCCAAGTTTACCCAAAAGGTTGCTTTTGGAGGGGAGTGTGTCTGTAGGCACAGCTGTGTAATTACATCCTTGACCTTGAGAGACAGGCCTTGACTTTCCCTCAGTAAGCTTCGAAAAATTCCCATCTGGACACAGAGGTTCTGGCTGGTGAGAGAAAAGCCCCTTTCCCGGGCCGTTCCCTGAAGCACCACCAGCGTCTGGAGGTGGCACCAGCTCCCAGACTCCCCAGCATCTGCCACCGTGTCCCAGGGCTCAGCTCGGCACGGCAGCGTGTGAGGGGTCTGGTCAGAAGCTGGCAGTGGGGGGGGCAGGAACACCACAAGGAGCATTTTTGTGTGAGCATCATTCTCTGTGAGCTTCCTACTGACCTCACACCTAATTGCAGACACTCCTTATTTGATCTGATCACATTGAAACACAAAGAAAATGGGCCTTTTGTTAACTTCGAAACCGGAACTTACTATTTACCAGATTCTACAGTTTTCACCTTCATTTTAGAGATGGGAATCTTTTCAAGGGGAAGCCAAACCGATCAATCCCCCTGCAGCCCTTACCTTTCGGAAACTCTTCAGTAGTGACGGAGAGTTTGAGCTCCTCTGCCATATCCCAGTCCTCAAGGCCTTTTTTTAAATGCAGGCTTTCCCAAAACGACTTGTTTTGGAAACTCAAGTACATTTTCTGTGTGTGGCAAAGTGACCCCCAGGTGCAGAGCGCAGCAGGATCTGTGAAGGTGCACAAAGAATCCCATGAGCTGGAAGGGCTTTGTGTGCCAAGAGACTTAATTTCTTTTTTTTTTTTTTTTTTTTTTAAAGGGGGTTACACAGGTGGATTTCACACTTCTAAATACCTATTAAAGCCCCTTCCAGTAAGTAAATGGTCCATACTGGTGGGGTAAGTGAGCTGATTGAGAATAGGATAGGTGGTAGCACACAGGCTCTGTTTTCTGCCCATTTACTTTGCTAGAGCCTCAAGAAATGTGTGTTTGTTAGGCTAACTTCTTATTTTCCTCTGCTTCTGATAAAATCACAGTGTTACCTATGCTCTGCCCTGGACTTCCCTGACCTGAGAACCTGGATGCCTCTGGAAGCAGGAGAGATGTCTGAGGGATGTGGGGAGCACTCAGGATGCGTTTGCAGGTACTGGGAAGGGTTTTAAGGCTGGAAACCACTTTAGCTCAGCCCAGGCAAAACAATGAGGGGGTGTCATGGAGGGGGAAAAGGAGCCGGGTTGTGCAGATACAGGGTGTGCTCTTACAGCGTCTCTCAGAAACTTTTTGTGCAGCCTGGAGACGCAATCTGAGTTCTACACCTTCCTGAACTGGTTGTGTTTCTGTGACCGTGTCTTTCACACGCAGTCCCAGCCTAATCTGCCCCAGGTATTTCAAATGAAGCTGTGTGGTTTGTGCTGTTACAGGTGGGTGTAAGACATCTTCACCCCCTTTCCCCACCCACCACTGCCCCTCTGCTCGGGGGGCAGGGGAGGTGGGTGGTGTGGCTGGAAACGGAGTGGCCTCAAACCAAAATCCAAGCCCTGGCTTGGCACCAGCAGGCAATGAGGTCTCAGACTCTACATACATTGAGCATTCTGTAGGACACTGCAGGTTATGCTCTAGTGGAGGAGTATGTCAGGGAGTTGCTGGGAGATGGACGGAAAGAGGCTGGTTTTGGCAATTGCTGACAAAGATTGCGCCATAACATTAGCGTCACAATGTTGGGGCAATCTCAGCTTAAAAGTGAATTCCTTTCCCCTTGCACCAAAGGTTTGGCTTTGGGTTATGTGGGTTTTTTTCCTGCATGATGAAAGAAAGTGCTTCTCCCCACCACAGGCTTGCTCTGCAGCGCTTTGGGCCAGATGTTGCTGTGCTGTTGGCTGCTGCTGTTCTCACCCTTTGCCTATTTGCATCTTTTGAGATGGGCTGTTGACAAATAAATCAGACAGGAAATCAAGCTTTTCTTGCAAAGGTAACTTTCAAAGGGCAGGGGAGGATCTCTGAGTTTTTCCTCTTGAGTCAAGGCAGGCACAGTAGTTTGTACCCTGTGTACTTGTTGGGCATTTCACAACTGTCCAGCCAGCACGGCTTGACTTTTGCTAGATGCGGACTACTAGTCACGTAGCTTTTCCCACCCTGGTGTGACAAAGTTCAGTCGTTAGTGCAGACGATGTGCTCCCTGTCAGGTTCCTCAGGTGTGCCCAGGACCTGCCTGTTGGCTGCTTTCCTCAAAAAAGCCGGAGTGCGCCCCAATCAAAATTCCTTCCCCTTCCTGAAACTGGAGCCCTGTGTTTGACTTGAGATGTGTTGCAAACAATCCAGCTACTATAGATTAATAATTTACCACGTATCACTCGACCTGTCGCACCACAAAGTTGCTTTCCCCTTTCTATCTGGAGCGAAACTCTCCCCCAGTGGGGCAGGCATCAGCTGAGGCAGAGTAATTCATTAAGCCGGTGATTATCTGCGAGCACCCTCAACTGACGCCTCACCTACCCACCTAACCTTTGGGACTTCATCAACAAGCTCGCACAGGAGTGCCAGACTGGATGCAGTTATGTTAATCATCTTGGAACCACGTAAGTATTTTTGGGGGGAAAGAAGCCCTGTAACAGATGGACCCTGCGTGCAGATGGAGCATCTTGACCTGCTTGTTCTTCTCAGAAAAGCAAGCAGGGCAGCGTGCAAAGCACCAATGTGAACAGAAAAAAGACAGCAGGATATCTGGGGATGGAGTTGTCCCCGGGAAGGACCCAGTTCCCTGTGCTGCTTTCCAGGAGCACCCTGGCAGAGGACAACGGGAGTGAAGGCTCGGCCACAAGAGGCCGTGTGAGCTGGCGTTTTGCAGGCAGCCACTAAATTCACCTGTGGCTGGTTCAGGGCCGGTGCCCCCGGGCCGGGTTGGGGGTATCCACCAGCAAAAGCTGCTCCAGAGCAATGAGGGAGATGAGAAACACCTGCAGAGCTCAGGCTGCCGGCAGCAGCCACCTGCAGCTGATTAGTGATTACTTTCTCCCATCTTCCCCCAGGTTCCCGTGTCCTCAGAGGAGGTTGTGCCTGTCGGTGGGACTGGTAAGTAACCGATGTGGAGGGAGAAGATATAACTTAATATAATATAGTGCTCTGCCTAGAGAAGCCCTGAACAGTTCTACTTAGACCCTCCTCAAAAAAAGGTGTGAAAAGGGCTTGCTAATATTTGCTGCCCCCACTGCAGGGATGGAGAGCGTTTCCCCGGTGCGATAATGTTTACTTCTTACTGGTAGAGACTTGGGGCGCTGCTCTCCTATGAACAGGGGAAGCGGGGAAATGGGCCCTGTGGTCTGCCCAGACCATGCAGTGAAGCAAAACTGGGAGCAGAAGTGTTGGTTTCCAGTTTAAAGCCTAAGAATGTTTTAAATATATATGTTTGCAGCCACCGACCTTTCCCTTAAGTTTAGGAAAAGGCTAAAAGGCCTTAATTTTGCCTTTGGCTGTTCAGACGCTGAATCCAATCCCATCAGTTTGTATCCTGTGTATTCTGGGTGAAAGCATCGTAACCCCTGAGCTCTGGCTTCTTCCCCTGCTCTCCCAGGTGAGAGGGATCTTCATCAGACTGAGAGAGCCAGTTTGTCTAAGGCTGCTGATTCTTTATGCCCTATGGTTTAACCAGCATCTCACGCTTGTCTCCTAAACCCATCTCATTTTTGGGTCCCCCTCTAGCTTTGGAAGGTGAAACAGAAGTTGGAAGAGAACCTGGTGACATGTGCAGAAGGTCAAAGCCAACACCTCTGTCTGCATCATGAATGGAGCTGAAAACGTAGAGGAGCAACAAGCTGGAGGCATCTCGGCTCAGGACGTCTGGATTCTTCAAAGCCAGCTCTTCTCAGGTGAGTGTTACCGGCGCGGAAGCCAATTGATGGGATAGTTTTGCTGCAAACTGGTCTCACCTACTCCCACACACCTTGTAACAACAAGAAACTCTAGGGAAGCTTCGTAAGGATGCGGTCGGGAGGGCATTTGCAGTTCTCTATCTGTACTGATTCCTGTGTCCTGGTGTTTTAGATTAAGACATGTTTGCAAATCGAGAGTGAAAAGATGTATTTCAGATTTGAGACATAACTGCGAGCACACTCAATTGCTTCTTGGGGTGTCTGAGGTTTGTGTGTGCACTCAGATGTCTTTGGCCAGTCTCCCAGCCTCGTGTGTGCGTGATGTGCGGTGAGAGGTCTCCTCGGCAAGCAGAGAAACTGGATTTGCTCCCGCTTCTGAAAGATGTTGGATTTGAGCTTGTTCTCTGCCCTATAGAGAGGGGAGCTCTGTAACTTGGCTTCTGACTCAGATTTGTTAATCAAGTCTGGCTCGAATGGCTTGTGTGTTCCACAGCCCCCGAAAGCTTGGTATTTGTACGGAATGACATCGGATTGTCTGTGGCAACAGGAGGGTGTCACCTCTTGTCTTGGCTTTGCTCAGCTGGTGGTGTTTGTATACAAGCAGGTTCAGTGGGCTTGGGGGGACTGGTCGTGCCAATCAACCGTGTTCTTCATATGTATATATTCTGTGGTACAAATTAATTTCCAGTTAAGTAATTGATACTTCTCCTCATCTCCCCAGCACGGGATGTACGGCAGGGCCTGTCCTGTCCTCGCACAGTGCCATTCCTGCTGGGTGGCATTGCTTCGGTTCCCCGTGCTGCAGCAAGGGCTGATGCTGTGACTATAGTACAGAAAGAACTCTCAGGCTTTGCGCGGGCCGGGGTTAAAACCAGACCTTTCTGTTACCGGGGGGGCTCCATCAGGACCGGACTGGGGGCTGCACCTGGTTAATCCTGTGGCTCCCCATCTGTCTCTGTCCGTACCGTAGGCAGATGCTGGTGCTGTTGTAGCTGTTCATAGCCTCTACGGGACATGAAGACTTGGCGTGTACTTGATGAGTATCGCAGCCTTTTCTATTAGCTATGTTCTATTCACTCTGAACAGATATGCTACTTTTCTGGTGGGGGAAAGACGGCTTCTTACCCCCCACATCCTCAAATTCTGTGAAGCTGCAGTAAAAGAGCTGAACTCGGGTCTCTGCCCCTCCTCCCTGATTTTTAAAACCACTTCAAAGGTGAGCTGGCGGACGATTGAAGCGACCGGTTCTGCCGGGCTCGCCGCCGCTCACCTTTCCTGCCGCTCCCCCGTGGAACAAAGCGCGGCGCTTCCCTTTGATTTCCCCCTTTGAAAGCCATAGGGGACAGAGTCTGAAATGCTCCGCAACTTTTTTGGTGACTCTGCTCCAGTACCTTCCTGAAGCACCGGGTGGATGAGGACAGGGCTCCAGGGAGCAGGAGACCTTGCTTGCAGCTGAATTTGCCGTCAGTGCAGGGTGGCTGAGGGGATGCTCCATCCCTCCTGAGTGTCGCAGCCGGCATCCCCTGGGTTTGCAGGCAGGGGAGGAAGGAGCTGCAGGGCATCTCAGGGTTGGTGGCTTTGACTGACTCCGTGGGGGTCCTGGCACTCCTCGCCAGCAGTATGTGCCACCTCCCGGCTCAGCTGCTGCTGGAGGGAGGGGTCTGCCCTATTCTCCATTTTTACATGCTTTTTGCTCAGCAGAGATAGCACCCAGTGGAGCGGAGCACGTGCTGCCGGTCTCCTCATGGGTGGGAAGGGGAAAAGCAGAGCAGTGCATGTGTGATCTGCAGCCAGTGTCCACGGCATCCGCTCTGCTGCTGGGGATGCCTCTTGTCACGAGGGAGGGTGGGAGAGCAGAGGCTTGTGTCTGTGGCGTGAGCGTCCATGCCCTCTTCTGTGCCACCAGGGCTCGAGGCATTTGCAAAGCTTTAACTGGTAAGGCTGTCATTGGGAAGCAGGCAGCGATGCTGTCCCTGCATCCTGTGAGGGGGGTGAAGACCACCTAGTACTGAACCAACCGCCCCACCTGGGTGTCCCAGAGCTCCCTTATAAAAATACAAAGAGAGCATGTCCCTGCTCAGCGTGGGGGATGGCAAGACAGCAGCAGTGCTGCTGCATGGGCAGCATGTGCCCTGCTCAGCGAGGAGAGGGGCAGGTCCTGGCTGCGATGCTCAGGAGCAGTGGGATGCTGACTCGGTGCAGGGAGCAGCGGTCATAAAGCCGTAGGAATTGGTCGTGTTGCAGGAAGTACTAGATGATGGGCTTGGGCTAAGGTTAATAAATCTGATCTCTGCTATTCTGGCAAGGCTTTTGGTGTTTTATAGCCACTGTTGCTTTTGTATGTGCTGCGGAGCTGCAGAATTGAGAGGAAACCTCTTGCCTGCTGGTTCAGGGCCAGGCTGGATGCCTGTACACGGCGTCTTATGGGACAGCACTGAAAATCTCAGCACATTAGCGTGTGTGTGTTCACCTCTCAGCCCCTGGCTGCAAGAACTGATGCTGGAATCACATTCAGCTGCTTTTGGCAGGAGGAGCCATGTATCGGGGCACAAGCCTTTGCCTAAGACCCTCTGTGGAGGGCACTGAGATCAGGGAGACGGTGTCACTCAAAGTTCAGCCTAAAGAAAACCCTTTTCTTTTTACTGCTGCTTGAAACATGGATGTTGTATCTTTAAGGCACCCCCTTCTCACTCCCCTAATACCTCAAGGCCTCTGAGTGATTCTGGAGGAGAGGATCAGTGCAGGAGTTTAAGGCATCTTTCCCTGCCCTGCTGCACTGCTCACTTACTGCTCCGAAGGCTGTGCTTTGCTATTTCCATGGAAACCATTAGTTGCTAAGCAACTGGAGCATCATCTGCGCTGAGCCCTCGCATCTAATTATCCCATCACAGTGGCTGAGAGGGGCTGGGGGGGGATTAACTCCTCTACCATGGCAGATCCATTGACAACACTTTAGTCGCATTTAAAGGGACATCGTCTCCCTTCTGCTGCGCTTATCGACACACTCTTCTCGGGAAATTACTTGGTTTTTCTTACACGGCTGGTCTGTGGGGAGGGATGCAGGTTTCTGCGAGCAGCAGCAATGCTGTCCGTGTTTGTCAGGTGCTCGCTGCCCCACGGAGCTCTGCTGCCAGCTTATCTTTCTGCCCGAGTTACGCACCGTGCGCTTTGCTGCGCGTTGGGATCACGCAATCCTTGCCTTGCAGACTCTGTCTGGGCCATACTTTCAGTTCTTCCTATATCCCCTTTGTGTTGTGGTCACCTCAGTGCTGCCCTTGTGTTATTGTCTCTGTCCCAAGAGCCTGATGTCACGTCTGCTCTGTGAAGTATTGCTAATTCTTCACCACTCAGCACTGGGAGAGGTGGGCAGCTCACTGCCTTCCGTCTGTTGGCAAACTAAAGCAAATACTGCATAGCTCGATACTCAGTTTGGTATTTCCTTACTGTTTGCTGCCAGGAGGGCTAGAAACTGTCTTCGAGGAGCACTGAAAGTGTAAAGTAATACCTAAGGACAATCTCATTTCCCAGACCTCTGTAAGTCGGCAAAACCACCAGCTGACTGGTGAATTTTGACCATTCAGATAAGTCAGTCTGAGAGCTGATTCCGAGTTTGCAAATCAAGGTTGATGTTGTGCAGGACTCAGTCTCCCCACTGTGATAGACTGCATCTGGGTGACGTTCCTGGGCTTGCAAGGAGACCGGTACCAGACTGGTACCGACGTCCCTGTTCCGGTAAATTCTGTCTGCTTCTTGCCTGCTCCCATCTGGCTGGCTAGGGAAGAATTTCTCAGTTTTCACTTTCTCCTCGGAAGTGGATGCTTTGTGATTTACTAAGGCTTTTCTAGTGGCTGGATCAGGGAGAGTGGGGAGGTTTGCTAGAAAGTTTTCCCCTTTTTTTTACTGCATCAGTCTGTGACCCAGCTGAGTGTTACTGCAAAGCTTCCTAGTGAGGACAGAGCTTCTTCAGCAGGAGGGAGGCCCACCTTTACCTTTGAAAAGGAAGAGAACCCCTAATACCTCCCCGATTTATCTTTGTTTCCGTGTCCATCCTTGAATTGTGATGTCTTTCACCGCAGCCAAAGCCTGCGGGCACCATCCTGCCCTGGCAATATGTTGTGCCAACCTGTTAGCAGTGCTTCTACCCCTCTCCTTGGAAGGGGACCAGGGCTCCGAGGACTGAATGACTGGGGGTTTGGTGGGACAGGGCAGCTTGGGAAGATGGAGAGGGTGCCTCCCACCTCACTCCCGGGGTAGATGGATGATAATGATTATTATTAGAGCTCTCATAATGATCTCGGGGAGGGGCAAGTGGATAAGAGAGACATATTTTGTCGTGAAAACGGGAAATGTAATTAAAGTCCACATGTTAATTAAGAGCTGGAGGGGAGAAATAGATGGATTTGTGCCTGAAGTCTCGTTGGCAGTTGGGGACTCTGCATAATGCTAATAGATGAGGAAGAAAGGCTTTGGAGAAGGAAGATGCAAGTATTGCGCAGAGGTTCCTGGGGCTTGGAGCGGAGTGTAGAGTGTAAAGAAAAAGCTTTGTTTTACCCTGTCGAGGTTGGGAAGCCAAAAAGAGGAATGGTGTCCACAGCTTTTGGTCCTTTGGTGTAAATTGGCTGTGTTGAGGCTCATGGGAGGATGGTCCAGACCTGATGACCCACATGTGTTTCACCTGCCTGGGGCCTCCCTGTTCTCTACCTGGGGATTTCCAGTTCTAAGTGTGTCAGACCAGCACACATCCTCTTAAAAAAAGTGGATGTGAGAAGGTTCCTGAGCTCCCACTGCCCTGGTGAAGGTGGGCATCTCGGGCAACTCCAAATTCCGCACAGCTCCTGAGACATTTGAAAAGTGAGAATCTCCCGTGTGGATCAGGGCAGCCAAAACCTGCTCATCTGCCCCCCTGGAAATGTGTGAGAACGTTAATCAGG